CCACAAGGCTTTGAAATGCTAATCATCACTGAAAACTTAAATGCAAATTTAACGCGAATTTCTTCCCGTTCAACATGTTGAAGGCATAGGAGCTTAAATCTCTTTAAATGAACACGAATTTATGTAAATTTTGCTACATAACAGTTTGTTGATTAATTAAATTTGCATTATCTTTTGTTTGTACGTCTCACGAATTCCCATCGGCGGAAAAATCTGATTTCGAGCAACCAGTTTTAACACACGATTTCTTGGTCATTTTTTATCTTATTGATTTAAGAACGATATAATCGGAAACCTAATAGGCTATTCTTTATTGCCAAATAAAAATTATATGGTTTACTTTAGTATTTTATAAACAGCAGTCGAATTATTTTGGATTCGAATTATTTTGATACACACTGTATAATAACCACAGCTAGATCCACCAGACGGAAGGCTGTTTCACTTGCCGCCTTTTGAGAAGTTTGCCTCACAGGCTGTAATTTCATTTGTTCAGTAATATGTTTAGTAATTCAGACACTTGTTTTTGCTTTAGGGAACTAACCATTTATCAAAAGATTTGGGATTATTTCCTTATATTATTGGGAATTGTCGCGTAAGTTTTCTAACAAAAGTGTAGAAGTGAGTTTGATTTGTGTGACAATGCAAGACATGGTGGTCAACTGTATAAAACAGTTACTTGACTGATTTGTTTACTACATGTCAAGCTTTTAGCCAGGATCAAAACTGGTCGTCCAAAAATTACCATGGGTGTGGCAACCTACAGGTATTTTCGTGGACGTGGTCAAAAAACATGGCGCTTGAAATCAATTGTTGTTTGCTTATACTTCAGCGTCTTTTCGACAGGAAAGTGTAGAAGTAAACAGCAGCTGACAGCTTTTGAAGTATTTAGGAAATATCACAAACTTGCGAGTTGCTGTTTAAAGAAAACATTTTGTCAGGCCGTCTGTGGCTGTTTATTAAAAAGTTGCCGTCTAAATTCAAAAGTGGTCGTTCATAGGACGGTTGGGCGACCGCCTGGCTAAGTGCCTGCCATGTGGGGTATAATTTTGAAACTTGCTCACACAAGTGGAATAGTTTGGAAATATATATATCCCCCGAGCCCTTTGCGCGTCAGGCGAAGCACGTAGCGGGTGTACTAATTTCGCACGGCTATGTACACCTGCGGGGAAAGGCCAGGAGCTAGCGAAATGAAAAGTCCACCATTATTGCGGGCACATGGGTGATGAGCTATCACCATTGATCTCAAAAGTATGGTGGACTGCCAGAAGTGGAACAAGCAAGATTTAAAGGGGAAACGTTTGATAAAATTAATTTTGTTTCGAGGGAATAACAAAATATGACATCGTGAAGTATAATGAAGTTTGTTTTGATTGTTTTTTGTATGTGTTGCTTTGAAATGTTTTGCTTAAACAATGTTTTTCACATAAATTATACATTTATTAAACCTAAATTACGGAAACCACTGAGTATTTTGATAAAATACAAAACAAAAGATACTCCGAAAATTAAAAGCATTTTGAAAATTTATTTCGACGTTTCAACTAAACTATAGTCATCATCAGGAAATGAATGATCATTCATTTCCTGATGATGACTATAGTTTAGTCGAAACGTCGAAATAAATTTTCAAAATGCTTTCAATTTTCGGAGTATCTATTGTTTTGTATTAGACCTAACCAGGAACAGCTGCGAAAAATGCAACTACAGATCCCTGGCAGGAGTTGAACCTGCGATTCCGGTGCAGCGCTCTAACCAACTGAGCTACCGAGGCCAGTTGTCGAGCTCTATTGATTGATATGCCCAAAATCTTGATAGCATTTACAATTTGATTCAACTAACTTTGTTTCTCTTGCCAGAGGATGCATGGGTACAAGAGATGCCGTGGAAAGACTTTTATCTCGGGATGACACAGAAATATAACACAGTTTTAATAATTAGTTGATAATTTAGTTTTAAATATTTTTATATCAAAGGATATACGAACACATGTTCTAGCTTGGCAACACAATCGGACAAGTAGCCAGGTGATTGTGGTCCTAATAGTATACAGTATATAAATCTAAACTATATTATTTATTGGCAACAAAAATCAAGTTTTAATGAAGGCTATATAAGTTTACATACGAAGTACTTCTAGAGCATTGATTTCCAAGGTTTTACGGTGGGAGCCTCGATTTCAGCATAACATTTCCATTCACCTATTTTTATATTTGGGGGTGGGGGTGGGGCTTGGCCCATGGCCGTAAATACCCCTAGCTAACATGTGCAGGGACCGCGGAGCCTGTTTAAAAGTTGGGGGGAGCAGGATAGCACGGGAGCTATTCCACGCAAGCAGGCTGGATTTTATCTGGTAATTTTTTATTATCCACCGAAAAAGTGCCTCCCCCCCTGTTTCGCGGTCCCTGATGTGTGTGTTACCATAACCTCGCTAATTCAAGACATTCAGCAACATGAATTGAAAATTGCGCAATAAAATGTTTTAGTTGACTACACTCCTTCAAATGCTTCGTCGTTTTAATCATTACAACTATCTGGCGAGTGTATGCTTTTAGAGTACAAAACAAAAGCAAAAACTGAAAACATCTTGAAAATCCATGATACAGATTAAAACAAGATGTAATTTAAAGTGAAGATTGAAAATTATGCGTAAATATAAAGTGTGACATTTATAAGTAGATGATTGACATTAAGTAGTTATGACGTAATGGACATAGATATATATGCAGGTGACAATTAGATAAAGGGAGCTAGACTCAACATGGCGTGTGTCTAAACAAACACAATATTACATGGTGTCAGGATGGAATACATGAAACCCCCAAATATCTTACATTTAGAAGGCAACTTAGCTGAAAACTGGCGAAAATGGGAACAACAATTCAATTTGTTTTTAGTAGCGAGTGGAATCGGCGAAAAATCTGCAAAAGTTCAAGCGTCTACATTGCTGCATGTGATACGAGAAAATGCGTTGGAAGTCTATAACACTTTCACATGGGCGAGCGAAGGCGATGCCATGAAAGTAGATAAAATAATGGAAAAGTTTGCCGCGTATTGTAATCCAAGAAAGAATATAACTTACGAACGGCACGTTTTTAACACGCGAAATCAGAGAGCAGGTGAGACAATTGATCAATACGTGACAGATTTGCGCACGAAAGCTAAGTCTTGTGAATTTGGTACCCTTTGCGACGGGTTAATTCGGGATCGAATAGTCTGTGGAATAATTGACGATAAATTACGTGCAAGACTATTGCGGGAAAGCGATTTAACGCTTCAAAAAGCCATTGACATTTGTCGCGCCAACGAAATCAGTTTAGAACAAGCCAAATCTCTTACAAACGCGACGGATGGCTTGACAACAGAAGTAAATGCCCTAAAGAAAGATCACCAAAGTGAATGCGATATGAACAGTAACAGGAGATCTCAAGATCGAAGGCGAAGTCCGTTCAACCGTACATCTAAAACGTCAGCGACAACATGTACAAGGTGTGGCGGTAAACACGATGAACAACAGAAATGTCCAGCTATAGGAGCTACTTGTC